AAAGTGAGCCTCCTCAGACGGCAAATTCTGTGTCAAGTTCGTCGGTGTCAACCTCTGCAGCATCTGCCACCAAACTATCGAGAAAAGTACTTCCTCTGAAAGCTCCAACGCCCAACATGGTCAGGTTAGACGAACGTTTTTCTCGACACTTAGGTGAACACAACTTAATTACGTTCACACAATTTAAAAGCGTTTACATTTCCAGTGATACTTTTCCTGTTTAAAGCTATTATCATATGTTTATTGTAAAAGAGTTGACATGCTCACTTTCTTGCTTATCAAAAAAGCTAACTTGCCTGGCATATAACAGAATTTAGCTGTTTTTGGCCTTAAATATAGTGTTGTTTTTCCGACCACGTCAGGAAGTGAAGGGAAGGAACTGTGGCTTAGGGTATTTTTTCCTGATTTAACTACTACAAAGAAATGTCGTATGACCCCCATGAGATTTTTGTAGAAGTTAAATCGGGAAAAACGATATTTTTGAAGCCCTTTCAGCCGTCGAGTTTTTGTCTGATTTACTGTTAGCAGTTAGTATGTTCTCAGATCCACGGGAGGATCTAAGAATTTGGTTGGTTAGAGGGGAAGTTTCAAAATTTTAAGGGAAGGATTGTAAGTCGACCTTGTTTCAGGGACATTTTCCAGTCTTACTATAAAGACTATTTTTCCTATATTTTTTGTACCCTATTCGAGTTTTGTACAGAAACAAGCCAAAAACAGACTTTTTGGCAATGTTGGAAGATTTAACAAAAAAATTCGTTTTCTCAGTCGCTTTGGGTGTTGGGGGGAGGGGTGCTCAGATCTATGGTAATTGAGTGAAACATAAGATCTTGTACTAGACCCGCTTAACTTGGTTCGGCAGCTAAGGCTTTACCTTAGTTCATTCAAGTTTATTGCGTGTTGTCTTTTAAGTATCAATGAACGAAGTGGAAACACATGTAGGTATTTTGGCTTGTTTGGATTTGCCGGGAAGAGTCTAAGATTTGTGCCAGCTCAGTTTTGATTTTTCGCGGTTTGCTTTTTGATTTCTTTTTAAGTCCCATTGAAAATTAATTTACTTGAAATTCAAGTGGCTTGAAAAATAATGGAAGTTTTGGAAGGTGGATTACTATTTAAAGGTTTACCAGCTGAATAAAAAATTATCTATAGAGACAGATTTCTTTCTTTGGGTCGATTCATCCGAAAAGTCAATCTTGAAAAACTTTTTGAAGTTAAAATTGGTCTGATGTTCTAAATGTCTTATGTCTAATTGCTCTGATGTAAAATGATCTTATTTTAAATCGACCAAATTAAATTTCCAAGCTCTTAAAACCATAAAGACCAAATTTTGTAAAAAAAAAAAAATTTGCGCCACAGCTAAATTTTTTTGGAAAAAGGGCGGTTGTGGGTACTTTTTTGTAATATTTTGATTCAAGTTTTGCATTTTTTTTACTCTTTAGGGCTCTTTCTTGTCAAATAGTTTTCAAGATTGTTGAACTAATTCATATTGGCATGGTACAAAGTTTGTTTCTAAGGATCCTCTGCTGTGATACGTCCCAAAGGACATATTCATCGGGGCGACTGATCTTTCAAGATCTGGACAACGTCCCCTTTTTGTAACGGTTGTTCTGCGATGCTCTATTTTGTTCGCTTCAACAGTGTTGGTAAATTTTCTTTTTGTAGTTATCGGCAGATGTGGTTGAGTCAGCGGATTGTTAGTTGAGCGTCAAAAGTTCCCAGTGGTAGGTTGCTGAAAGGACGTTGGATTATATTCAGGTTGAGTGGCTCCTAATTTTCTGTGATAGCAGTGTTTGTCAGAGGTCTGGAGTTTAACATAGATTCTAGTGAGAATATTATCGAAAAAACCCAGCGATAAAGTTTTTATATCTAAGAATAAGCAAGATCACATGTTTGCGATCTGAATTAATTGCTGCCAGGTCGCAAAGAAATGAGATCCATATAGTGGGTTGAGTTTATATTTGATTTCCTTGATTGCTAGTTTAGTTACAATTTCGTTTTTGTTGAATCTTTCTAGGCATTTCTTGAGTTCATAGTTAGCTCCTACCACATCTTTTCATTGTGACTGTTCAAGATTTTAGTTGTACATCTTCTTATTGTCAAGCGTGCAAGTGCATTGAGAAAAGTATCGGTGTTTAAATTTGGACAGTCTTTTAGATGAGCTGCTCTTGTTGTAAGGCAGTTAAAGGTTATAGCTTAGTACGTGTCCGTTTGTTTTCTATTTTCAATAAAGAATTGGCCTAAGAAATCTATTCCTGTACTGATGAAGGGAAAGTAAGACGTACTTATTGGAAATCTTGAAGATGAAAGAGGTGCCATAATTGGCTCTAGATTTTGATGTATGAAAGCTCTGACAATTTCTGAGCCTTCATGTATGAAAATTTGGTGTTCAATCAGTTTGTCTGTCTGTGAGTTTTGTTTTGTCGTCTATGCTTATGTTAGTTTTTGGGGAATGATTGAGCCTGACAAAAGTTAATGGCTTAAAGCATAGCTTTTTGAATGTCCGTGGTGTTGCAGTTTGATTGCACATGTACATCATTTGATATTGGATATAGATCGGTTTTAATTTTGAAGACGTTTCAGTTTAGAAATAAAACTGCTAAGTATAGCGAAAGTTAAAAGCAGCTTGTTTCATAAAAAAACCGTTTGATATCAAAACTTGGCTCATTCACATATAGTTTTCTCTTACTAAGTCTTCTTCGTAAACCCGCATCTACTACAGTTGTTAGGTTGTTTCAAGAACGCAGCCATGAGACATTTCTTGTTTATTTTGGTTCAAAACCGCGAGTACATTGTTTCGTAGCTTTCAGAGTAGTTGGAATGTGATGCCTATGCAAGTTGATATTCCATCGTTGAGATTTCGTTTAGTTAACGGGCTTTTCCTTTTCGTTGATTATCCAGTCAAAATATGTACCAGTCACCGTTATTTTCTCCAGTCACTGTATCTCCAGAAATGTAAAAAAGCTGGTCTGTTGAGATGAAGTTCCATGAAAGCAAATTATGAAGAACCTATTCCAATTGTTGCAGCTTCCAATTCAAGTGAAGGTACGCTTAGTTGTTTAATAAGTTTACTCTTGCCGATCAACAATTTACTTGTAATGATTGTCTCGTTGGTTTTCTGCATTCGCAAGGATAGAGTTGCGATTATTCCAAATAGTCATGCGTTTGTAAATTCGTGTATTTCCAATTTCCTTGAGTAAAGGCTTGGATTTGGAAATCAGGTCAGTGGCAAAGTTATTCTATCCATTTTGAGGAAAGAATCGAGGACCTTCTGTAGCTACAGTGATCGTCTGGTATCTGATCATTCCTTTTTCAACCCTATTTTCCAAATCTTGCAAATCTATCAAATAGTCAGTGGTGCTAAAGTCAAGTGGATAAAAAACGACACCAAGCTAAACAGTTTTCGTTGTGTATAATAATCAGCCAGAGCAGGAAAATTTTGTAGGGAATCAAAATAATTTCATTACTGTCACTTTTCTACTTTACTTTTGCCCTAGATTACGTGTTGAATACGTCTCGTCGTGGTCTTCATTAGGAATTTTCAGGGCGAAATAGTTGTTTGATAAGAATTCAGTGAAGCTTACCTGGTTTTAATGACTCCCTTGTTTCCTGTTGAAACTGATTGTCTAAGTTATGTACTGAGTCGATGTAGTCATCCAGATAAAAGCTGGCTAGAGGAAACGAGTTTTTCTTATCCAAAGCGCTTTTTTGTAATTCTTAAATTGCGGAACAATTGGCACCTAATCTTAATCGTGTGTGTTCGTACTGATTGATTATACTCTAAGGGATTGCAAAACTTACTGCTGAAACGAGGTCTCACGTTTCACAATTCCCAACCGAAAAGTGCGGCCATCCTAGGGTACTATGAGTGATTAAAATCATTGCCTTTAAATGTAGTTGTGTGATCTTGTTTCCGAGATATGACGTTATTTTCGATATTTTCCTTTTAACTCGATTTTGAAAAATTTTCTACGAAATTTGAAATTTCCAACCCAAGAGTTGGGTGCTTTCAGGGTTCTATCAGTGGTTGCTCTTCACTATCTCGTCATGCTGAAGCTTTTTCGACGTTTTATTTTTTGCATGTTTCCCAAAAAAATTCCACGATTAAGCTTTATCGTATATTCCAATGCCTTAGATTTTTTTTTGATTTTCTAATTACCTCCTTTTTATATTGGTTGTAGTAAATATTTTAAATTAAGGTAAGTTAAAGTTTGGCAATTTACGTTGATACTCTTAAAATCAGCCTATCAGGATTGTAGATTTTCGGGATTAACAACTAGTTTAACCCAATCACTTGGATCGTTTTACCTTTGATTCATTTGGAATCAAAAGTCAGACGTTAATTCGCCCATAGGGCGAAGAGCTAACTCACCTGCCCATAAAGACAAAAGTCGATGGTTCGCGCATCCGGCCAGGACCTGTTTTTTGTAAACAAAAATGGTTTGCGCGTCAAAATATCTTGGTCAGACTTCTGTTTGTTTTTGCCGGCTTAATGCCGCGGCACCCAATTTGCCAAACATTCAGGCATTTTTACTTCAAATTAAAAATTCATTCCAGTGTGTTCCGAATTTGGGCTGGTGATTGAGTTTCGGCGATATGTTCTGCTATTTTTCGATGTTTTTCATGTTTATGAAAAACGTTTAAGTTGTTTTGTGCATTTGTTTTGAAGGTTGTGTAGTGTTCTGTGCATTTGGTACAGTTGTAAGACCCATGCTTGAGACAACAAATCTCGGAAGGTCGATTCCAGTTGGGGCCTGTTTTTCGTGGAAACTGAAATTTTTATACTAATTTAGACTTGTGCTTGTTTTTGTCGACTGAGGTCCCGCAGAAAGGTTAGGTTTCTTTTTAAATTTTGAACATTTTTTTAAAAATTTTTTTTTCTAATGGTGCAGTTAGTTTTGACCCAGGAAACTTTCGTCCTTTTTTGCAATTTGCATCGCTTCTTGACAACAAAAAGTGTTTTTTTTTGTTTTTTTCTTTCAATTTTATTTGTCTTTTCATTTGCTGGTAATAAGCCGCGGATCTAGGAATTTCTCGAGGGGGGGGGGGGGGGGCAGGGGCATTTTTTCAATCCGCTATTGCTTGTAATCATGGTCCTTCATTTTTGTATCGCAAGTGGCGCGAAGCTCACCTTCACCTCTGTGTTAAACAAATGTGACGGGAACCTTGTGTTCTGTGCTTAGTTTTTGGATACACTTGTACAATGTTCAATGTCGTTTAGGTCGATCGAGAGAGCGAGAAAAGAGCAAGAGTTGCGGCCTGTTAAGGAGAAACTGAAAGCAGCATCAACAGCCGCAACAGTGCCTAAGAAAGAGGAAGTGGTATGTCTTTCCAGCGACGAAGAAGAGAAAGAGGCGGAGGAGGAGTCAAATTGCATGATTAGAGTGAGCAGCGTGAACGGATTCGACAATGAGGCTGTGAATGGAGGGTTCGCTAACGACGGGTTTCAGCCGCTGGACGAGAATGGAGAAGCTGTGACCAGGTGAGTTACCGTCTACCAATGTTGCTTGTTTTCAGAAAATAAATAAGTAGGAATTTATTTAGATGGTAGATCCAAAACAGCATAGAAGATCAACGAAAAGTAGCAATGTTGCGGGTTCCGCGACAAATCTAATTTTGGCCTGTTGCGGATTCCGCTTACAATGCACAGAATGCACAGTTTGGCCTCGTAATGATTTTAGCATAAAATAAGCTTCATTCCATGTATGTTTACACTAGCTAGTTTCCGAGCATAGTGTGTTTGTACGAACCTTCTTTTTTTCCAACCTAACTCGCAAATAAATCTGTAGCGTTGGAAATTTCATAGCATCTGTTCTCTGCTTTATATGTGGCTAGTGTTTGGGAGTAAGGAAAGTTCCGTGGCTGAGTGGTTAGTGCGTGAGAGTCATAATCTCTAGATCGCAGGGCGAATCGCATTCGTATCAGAATGTGCACCGATTCGGGGGTAATTTCAGTTTTTTAGTGCACTTTATAGAACTGCTTTGTCGTGTTTTTGCTTTAGTTTGCGAAGCGCAGCTTCGTCTCTGTGTTTATGTTAGCACAAAGTTACCGAAGAAAGTATTGAAAATTCATCGGAAAGAAGAGTATATACTGTGTAATGATAGTTGTTCATAATGAGCAGATTTTGCGGACCGCTTTTATTTAGGCTGAGGGGCATTCATAAAAAATTCCGTTTAGTTATGACTGTGCTGCCTCGACTATGGAAAGTGAAAGCAATTCGTCGTGCAGCTTACAATGCGTCAAATCATCTGTTGTCGAGCAAAGTGCCACAAATGAAGGAAATCTGCCGAACATGAAAAATTATCCCACGTTAGCCCAACTGAAACGAGATCCGAATTCACTCGAAATGTCTCCCTTTAGCGTAGCTCTAACATCTATTTACTACAATAATGGATTAGTGTGTCCGACTAAGACTGAGTTGCAGTGTAAATTTAGCAAGTTGGAAATAGTTTTGCCAGATTCTAGTTGTTTCGTCCACCCCGCAGAAGTTCCGAGACGCATAAGTTTCAATTCAATTCAAGGCGCACATTATATGTTATCTTCAGCTTTTAACGGTCTTCTAATACATCTATCGTCAAATCCTTTGCCGGCCAACCAACAAACTGTAGCCTCTCTCGATCAAGCGCAGCAGAATGTGGCATCCAAAGAGTCGACTAGTGGCCAATACTTGCTCCTGATTTTGAAATCACCTCTTAGATTGGAATTAGTTCAGAGGTTGAAATTACTTTTTGAGTATCTTAATTTTATTAGAAATACAATATCATTTATAAGAGACGATCGAGCGGCAGTGTTCAATTTTTACAAGGAATGGGAAACTGACAAAACGAAATTGGCGCGCTGTTCCAGCGGAATAGGTGCTTCATCAGCAGCGAATTCAGCTCTCGTGAAAGCATTCAATAACTCAGGCAATGCTGCTCGGAACGGTAACACTGTTACATTGTACACATACACTCGAGATAAAACGATTATTCCGATTACAAGCGCGGATGTGCGCTGTTTAAATCCAGACGAGTTTCTAAATGATACGATAATTGATTTTTACTGTAACTGGCTCCTCGATCGGTACCTCACGGAGCCCGAACAGAGGAACAGAGTGTACTTGTTCAACTCCTTCTTCTACAAGACCTACACCCAAGTCAAGAATCCCCCAAAGCCCACGGCGAGCGAAGTAGCTTCGGGTAAAGGGGGGGCTGTTGCAGTGAAGGTGAAACGACACGAACGGGTGAAGAAATGGACCAAGAATGTGAACTTGTTCGAGAAGGATTTCATCATCATTCCTGTGAACGAGGAGTGGCATTGGTTTCTGGTGCTAATTTGCTTCCCAAAGCAAGCAATAAATGCGAGTGCGCATAACGGTAAGACACTTTGAAGATATAAAACATTAAATCTGTCCATAAATTCTGTTTGATTAAAAATACAGTATCGGCATCCGCTATCTAAATTCTGATTACCATATTTTTGACGCCCTATAAGAGCCAAAGACGCCCTACAAAAAATCTGCTTATGCCACTGCCATGGCATGAAAAAAAAATACATTTCATCATATGGTATTTTAATGTTCTATTTCCTTTGTTTTTGCTTAGATACATTTACATTTTTTGCTTTTCAGCCTTGATGGCCAGTCAAAAGTCGCAGACAGTTGGCAACTGGATCAACGCCAGCAAGATTGCACGGGAGCGCGAGCCGCTCATTCTGGTGCTGAATTCTCTAATCACTGGCAACAAGAACAACCTGTTCAAACAAATGCGAGACTACCTAGAGGTCGAACTTCTAGATAAATCCCAGTTAGTTCAGTCTTTTTCGCGTACAGCGTTTGCTCATATGCAACCCTCAGTGCCTCAACAGACGAATTCTTTCGATTGTGGAATCTATTTGTTCAAATACCTGGAAAAGTTCCTCCAGGATTTTGTGACGATCGAAAATAATCCGAAAGAGCCAGACAAGAAAATAGAGTGGGAGAAGTGGTTCGAAACTTCGGAGACGTCTAATATGAGGAACGAGTTAAAGACATTGATCGCATCGTTGCACGACCAGAAAACAGTTTCAAACTTTGAACAGTATTCCTTTAAAAAAGTTGTGTCCTCAACGTGAGGTGTAGATTGATTGGATTCGATTGTATCGTTTGTAAAAATTGCAGATAGCGTTTTCTGATATTGCTTCATTATTGTTCTGAACTGAACTGCTTAAATTACTCCCAAATTTTAAGGTTTTGGTTGATAGTTATTTAGAGCAGCGGCGGTGTATAGTGTATGTAAGTGCACTTCTAAAGATTACGATGTTCATTGCTAAAAAAAATTTTGAACAGAAAGTGACCATAAACGTAAGGAATTAAGTTTAGTTGCCTTGTAAATAATTGTTCGAATAAAAATCAGGGGTAATAAGTTAGATAAAACTTGGCAAGAAATCAGAAACATAGGTTTGTACGTTTCTGTTAGATTCATGATACATTTACTAGTAGTATTAGTAGTAGTATTTTGCGCACCACCACGCAAGAGAGAGAGAGAGAGAGGGGGGGGGGTTGAACAGGGCCCGAAATGAGCAGTAGGAAAAACATAACTCTTTAAATATTGATTTTTCGACCATAGACACCAAAATTATGTTTAAAAACACATACATTGTTCGATTTTTGCCTGTATATATAGTATGACTCATCAAACTATTGGAGTTTCGACCATAGCAACTCATTTAGGCGCACTGCTCACCAAATCACCCCTCCCCCTAGCGTTACTGGTGCGCAAAATACTACTATTTTTACGCATTGTAACTATGTCGCCATTTGTATATTCAACAGATTAATTTCAGAAAACTGACATGGGGCGAAGACCTGCGAGGTGCTACCGCTACTGTAAGAACAAGCCCTACCCCAAGTCCCGCTTCTGTCGAGGTGTCCCTGATCCCAAGATCAGAATCTACGACATCGGACGAAAACGGGCTGGCGTGGACGAGTTCCCCTGTTGCGTGCACCTGATTTCAAACGAGCTTGAGCAACTGTCGGGGGAAGCACTGGAAGCGGCGAGAATCTGTGCGAACAAGTACATGGTGAAGAACTGTGGAAAGGATGCGTTCCACATGCGAGTGAGAGTGCACCCATTCCACGTAGTCAGAATCAACAAAATGTTGAGCTGTGCCGGGGCGGATCGACTCCAAACCGGAATGAGAGGTAAAGCAGTAAACATAAAACTGTTGAATTAACACTAAAAGGAAAAGTGTCTGTGCCTGAGATCTGAAATTGCGTTTTTGACAAGCGTAGGGTGCCTGCGAAGCATTTAATAAATTTCATTGTTGTCTTATTATTTTTGAACGCAATTTATATATAATTTTTAAGTCAATCAGCCCGGAGGCCTAACCCGGAGGTTAACTATTTAGGTTTACATGAGCGCATATATTCAGCGCCCTTTAAGCTATGACTTGCTTGCTAGAGCTCGCCTTACAAATTGCAGCGCACGTGCGATTTGAACCAGCAATCATATGATTGCTGGGCACCATCACTACCGGAGCGCCTGAGTTATTTATTTATGCGTTTGAGAACGTAGTTTTTTTTTTGTGAAATTTCCACAAAAATAATCTGACTCAAACTTACTCAAGGGACTGCTTTTCTCATCCGTAGTTCGCTTGATTATTAGGTGCTTTTGGAAAACCGCAAGGTACTGTTGCTCGTGTGAGGATTGGGCAACCGATTCTTTCAATGCGAGTGAAAGACAACCAGAAGCCGTCAGCGATTGAGGCTCTGAGGCGCGCTAAGTTCAAGTTCCCTGGCCGACAGAAGATACTGATATCTTCCAAGTGGGGCTTCACAAAGTGGGAGAGAGACGAGTATCCCCAGATGAGACAGGACGGGATCCTGAAGGCTGACGGATCTGGAGTGCAGTACAGTCGCAAGATGTACAGAGCAGCACAGCACTCGATCAAGCTGGCAGCAGCAGCCGAAAAAGCAGAGTAGACTGTTATTGGACTGTTTACCCTTTTGTTGCCTTCTGCTTATATGAGAATAAAAGTTGGTAGCTCACAGTTTTTTTATTCACTTGTGATAGGAAGTGTCTGGCATCAGGATACTAGAGTTTTTTCCTGTTAATGTTTTCGTTCTCGAAAATAATTTTAAACCGAAATTGACGAAAATAGATAAGGAAAAAACAGAATATAAAAATTTTTACCGCGTGTATATTGCAAAAACTTTAGTAGGATATACAACCACAGTGGTATAATTAGATCATTGCTACTGTGGTGATAAATCCCTAAAAAATGTTTTTCTCAGTATATGCGCGGTATCATTTTTGAAATGAAATTTTTTTCTCATTTTTTTACTGACTATATCGCTTTTGGTTCAATTTTTGCAAACAAAATTAATAAAATGCACGTGTGCTGTACGGATACGACGTCACGTGCTGACATCTAGAAACGAAAATAATTTTCCTTTTTTAATTTTTCTTCTAAAGTTGTCGGCTTTCAAGCTCATGTTTAAGAGTAATGAACGTAGTGAGTACTCTGATATAGGTCTTGGTGATTTTTTAAAGAATAATGAACGTAGTGAGTACTGTTATATAAGTCTTGGTGATTTTTTTTCAGGAAAAGTCTACACAAGCAAAGCTTGTATTATAGTATGAAATATCTTTTTTTTTCTAACCTAAGTCGCAAATATTGTTGGGAAAAAATGTGTTCATTTTGAAAGTGTTCATTTTGATCATTAACCAGCTATTAAATACAGCCAATGCTAAAGATATTAACACAGACTATTATTGTTCCGACTTTCATAACGAAAGTAACGGAATAATTGAGCTCGTGGTGGTTTTTTTTCAGAAAAAGTTTGACTGTTTAATTACCCATTTTTGACGGGATATTTTTTATCCTTCAAAAAGTATTGTTGTCCTGGGCAAATTTGGTAAGATATTTTACCTGTGATCATTTTTTCGTAAAATTATGAAGTTTAAAAATGGCCAATTTGGGACAATTAACGCGCGATATATTTTGCGCTATTAACGCGTGAGTGGAGGTTTAATCCGTCGTAGAAAATGGCGTGTGGGGGATGATTTTCACAAAAAATATCAAATTAAACAAAAACTTATTTTTATTACATTTAATTTCATGTTATTACTACTCCATAGACTGCTCTGAAAATTGAGGTATGTTAGTTGGTACCTTTTTTTTTTCTTCAAATTGACTGGTACTGCTAATGCGTCATAATTGGCGTGCGTCACTTTAGAAATTTTGTTGACTCAAAATTTACTTATTCAGTGCTTCCCAGTAGCGTTATCGGTCATACTTCTTGTGTATGCGAAGTGCAACTTCGCCTCTGTGTAAAATTTGTTAGCGCTGAATTTTTATTTTTCGCGGTATGACTTGTGATTTTTTTAAGTTCAGCGCATTTCCATTGTTAAAAGGACGGCAAAACTCACTATCGAACAGCAAAAGTGTAAAGGTCATCTATCTTTTTTCGAAATTCAAAATTGAAGGTTTTTGGAAAAAAAAACAAGTCAACTTTCTTTGCAGTTTCCAATTCTTTTCCAACTGTCAGTTGTCTATGTTTAATTTTTAATTAGTTTCATTAAATGGATTGTGCAGCATTTGATTAGAAACGGTCTGCATTTTAATCCTCAAAGTTTTTTTGCGCCATCTTGGAAACAAAAACTTCAACTTTTAAAGTTTTTTGAGTAGTTATTTTTGAAAGAAACTGTTTTCCAATATTCCTGATTTTTTATGAATATCGGAAACGCCTAATTTTTAGTCTTTTGTTCAGATCCTTTCACCAAGACATGTACAAAAAAAACGGATTTATTTTGGAAAAAAAAATTAAGTAAAGAATATAGTCGGAACTGGCCATGCTTATTCAAAATTGTTTTTCAATGTATCGCAAGTGGCGCCAAGCTTCGCTTCGCATCTGTAACAGTTGTGACTATGAAAGTATTGTTTTTGCTTAGCAAAACAAGGAGGCAACGGTGATATCATGTATTTTTGCTGCAAAATGTCTTGCTCCTATAATTTTTCGAAGTTTGTAGAATAATTGTGCTCGATAGAATACGAAATTGTTAAGAAGGTTAGAGAAGAAGCGGAATTGCGTGAGCTTACCGTTCCATCTGTATACGATACGTTTGGCACCCGAGGCGTGCCAATTGTTAATAAGTAACAGTATCCAGTTTGGGCGAGATTACAAAATAGTTTTTGCATAATGTACTAAATAAAAGAGAAAAGGGAAATATTTTGTGTTGATTGTGTTTTTCTAGCATTACCAGAATTGCTTAAAAGACTAGTTCTCTGAAATTTTGACGTGGATTTGAATGTTTTTCAATGTAATATTGTAATCTTGTTATAAATTAAATGAAAGTTGGAATGTGCTATGGACGCGATGCTTAACTGAATGCAATAGTTTCATTTTGTCGAGTGCAATGTTTAAGAAATTTTTTTTCAGGCTGAACGCTTAAAAGAAGTTCAATAATATTTCAGATTTTTAAAACATTCTAAAGTTTGGAAAATTCAAAAAATATTTTTTTTTTTGGAATAAAAAAACTCTGAAGAAAAGATGAACTAAATTCAACATCGAGGCCAGAAAGTAGCTGTCCTCTTTTTGTCGAATATTTGGCGTTTTAAGATTGATATCAGTGTCAAACGAACTAACTAAGGACTGAAAATTCCATGCTTAGAAAAAGTAAATCTTTGAAAACCGATTCGCTCTATAAAATAACTCAAAAGATTTCAAAATGTCATTGCTCATAAAGCTTGCTTAGAAAAACTTTTTGCAAATAATTAGTTCTCAGAATCAACTTGAATTATTTTGAAAATGTTTCTATGAAAAAGCTTGCTTGGCTAATCTTTACTCTATTGCAAACCGATTCAGTCCATACTTGCACAAGCTTGCATAAAAAGTAGACAAGCTTGCCTTAGAAAAACTTTATTCGCTTTATCAATCAACTTAATTTAGTTCAAAGTTTCATCGTTTGAATAGCTGCTTGGAAAAATGTTTCTTGTAACGATTATTCAGTTTGCGAAATATGTTGATATATTTTAACGTTTCATTGGTCGTTAAGCTTGTTAAGAAAACTTAATTTTTCTGTGAATTGATTCAATCAATGAACTAACTTGAAAAAAGTTCAAATTTCAACTCTTCTTCAACTTGGTTAGAAAAAGCTTGATTAACTTGCTTAGAAGTTTGTCGCAAACCGATTCGGTCCATTAAAAATTTCGAAATTCGCTCTATGATTATGAATTTGTTCCATGCCCACCCATTCATTAGTGAAATAACGTAAAGTATTTCAAGGTTTCATCGCTTGAAAAAAATGCGTTAAAAATTAAACCAAATTACTGATTCGATCTAAGAAAAATCTCAACGCTTGAAAAGTTTGCAGAGAAAATTTTTCTGTCGCCTTTCAATTTGGTCGGTAAAACAACTGAAATACTTCAAAGTTTCAACGCTCAAAAAATTTGAACAGGAACGCCTAAACTCTTTCCGAATCTTTTTGTTCTATGAATCAACTTGAAATATTTCACAAATTTCAACGCTTGAAAAAATGCAAAGAATTTTTTTTTTGCCCTTCAATTTGATCTGTAAAACAACTGAAATACTTCAGAGTTTCATTGATCGAAAAAGTTGACAAGGAACACCTAAACTTTTTTGGAATCTTTTTGATCTATGAATCAGCTTGAAATATTTCATTGCTTGAGTAGATAGCTAAGAAAAATTTATTTTCTTTTCGTGGGCTTATTCGCTCTATGAATAACTTGGAATATTTCAATTTTCCACCCTTTTTTTAAGTTGCTTAGTAAAATTTAAGTTTTTCGATTACTGATTTGCTCCATGAAACAACTTAATTTTTCCAAAGTTTCATCGATTGAAAAATTAACCTCGAAAAATGCTAATTTTTGAAAATCGATTCATTCTTTGAAAGAACTTGAAAAATTTCAAAGTTTTTCTGCTCATAAAATTTGCAAGAAAGCATGTATTTTTGCCAGCTAATTCCCTAAATGACAAACTTGGAATTTCCTCTAATAGTTCGATAAGAAACACTCATTTTTAATTTTCCGCGATTTGATTCGTTCTATAAAATAACCTGAATTTTTTAAGAGTTTCATTGCTTCAGTAATTTGTTTAGAAAAATTTAAATTGTTTACGAGTCGATTTGCTCACTTTATTTTTTTGAAAACAGAATCGGTTGATAAAATAGCTTCAAATATTTCATAGCTTCAAAAGTTTGCTCAAGAAAAACATCAGGTTTTCGTGAACGGATGCGTTCTATGAAATAAGTTGAAGTGCTTGAAAGCATGAGTTTTATAGCTAGCAATCAGTCCATAATTCGAAAACACATAGCTCGAATAGTTTGTCTAGAAAACCATTAGCTTTTGTGCGAACCAAATCAGCCTATGCAATAACCACAGTCTGCTCAAAATTACATGGTTTAAATACCTTGCATAGAAAAATTTGAATCTTTTGCGAACCAGTTCGCTGTGTGAAGTAACCTGAAATATATCAAAGTTTCAGCACTTGCATAGATTGCTGAGAAAAACAAAATCTTTTCGCCAACCAATTTGCTCTGTGAACACTTGAGATAATTCGAAGTTTCATTGCCTTAAAAGCTTGCTTCAAAAAACTGAAACTTCTCGCCAGTCGATTTTCTCTATGAAACAATTTAACACGTTTCAAAGTTTCCTTATAAATAGCGTGCTCGGAACAACTTTGAAAAGTTTCAAGCTATTTAGTAGACCGTACCCTTTTGCCGAACGCTTAAGTTTTTTTAAGCAAAAATTTTGCAAACTTTTTAGGGAAACTTTTCGCAAACAGATTTGCTTTTTGAAGTTAGTTGAAATATTTCAAAATTTCAGCGCTTCAATTGCTTGTTAAGAAGACTTTAACTTTTTCGCGAAACGATTCGGTCTAGGAAACAAGTTAAGTGTTTCAAAGCAGAAGTTTAATAGCCAGCATTCATTCTATGAAATACTTTTGAATCATACAAAATTTCAGAGCTCTAATAGTTTGCTCAGAATAAGTTGAATTTTTTACGAGCCAAATCAGTCTATGCAATA